TGAAGCCTTCGGACAGTGTGGCGGCCATGACCAAGTTCATTGCTGAGCTAAAAGCTGAGAGCTCGGGCAAATTCTTTGACTTGGACCCGAGTTCCCCTGTGTCGGAGATTCCGTGGTAGAAGCAACACTAAGTACAAACAGTAAAATTGATTAATTGCTTGAATAAAATGCTTTTCAGTCATTTTGTTGTCTTCATTGAAAGGAAATCACACCAATCAATCCGTGATTGAACGGTTAGAAGACACCAGCGAATCTTTCCGACAGTCCTCTTGGATATAAGGAAAAATTAAATTCCTTACGTTTTCACTCTCATGCACATGACGTGTTAAATTTACCAAGGGAGAAATTTGTTTCCAGTGATTAATTAAATGGGCATACCGATACCCAGAGCATTTGTGTTTGGCTGGATTGCTCAATTATGGTTTACTTTCGTCATAACGTAGAACTTTGATACTAATTTTTACAATTACGTTGATGTGCTTCATGAATTCAACCGTCCTGAAAGCTTGCTTATCAATTTATGCGTGATATGTCATCTTATCAACTTTATAGACAGCAGTGACTGTAAAGCAAAAACCGTTAAGGTTGTTAGATGATGAGCTATTTAATGAGAGAGACTCACTGGCCGATGACTTTAATCGGCAGCACCAGCGACGAATCTTGCGCGAGGTTCACGAGCTAGTAATCCGGTTTTCCTTTGACGAATTTGACGAATTCCGCCCAGATGATGATAGTTTTTGGAATCTGACTGCAATCCTGGATGCCTATTTATCATTCATGGAGGTGACTCGATTTTGCATTGACGGCAAACAACACGTATGGTTGACTCATGACGACTATAGAAACGCAACGCGCTTTGATGGTCAACTTCTTTACGATGTTTGCGTGGCTATCGAACACGAATAGCTCATTTTGTGAAATTTAGAAGTCAAAGTTAGTATCTCTAAAGCACCGCGACATCTGCTTCAACTTCAGCTCGAGTAGCAGTCCGATAGCATAACGCTCCCACCTCGATGCATTCTTGTTCACAGCACATTAAATGTTAGGTATCACTATCTACAGTAAAGTCAAAATATCAAAAGGTCAATCAATGTTCACTTAGTCTCGCTGATTCACGCTCTTTTTGGGAGAAAACCCAGTACAATCTCCGCGAAAATTATGTCAAATTCCTGAACGATGTCGTCCTGTGGACAATCGACAGTCTGTAGATAGCATCCAAGATCGAATTTTCATAAATGTTCAGAAAAAATTCTCAGCTTGAACGCAGAATCATACATTGACGCAACCACAAGCAATTTAAAAGATTGTGCGTACAATTGATATCGCGCCTTTAACTGCTGTGCAGCTTTCAAGTTTTGAATTTTCAAGAATTTTGGCATGTAGAATTAAGGTCACAGATTCGATCTAATACCATATTTTTGCTAATATATTTGCCACTTTCCAAAACTCGGATTTTGTGCGTCTTCCTTGTACTGCAAATATGAGTTCAGCGAGCCATTATCCGAATCGTCATCGGTGGATCCAACTTCAAATTAAAAATGGCTTTCAGTCCGTTGAGCTCAATTGCTTATAAAGGGTCGATCATGCAATCCGTCGTCCATACTTTCACAGAGTTTACTCTGTATGCTAAGAGATTGCTAAACTTCCCAATATTTTTAATTCTTAGGTTTGCAATGTCCTCGAAAACCTTTCGCTCCACCGATGATTCACATAGTAGTCTCTTTGAATATCGACACATATCAGTAGAGCACTGGCTGAATCTCGCATAACACACTATTGCGCTCCCTAAGACATTTCGCAAACTTCAGAAATTGAGTTACCATTATGAAGTATAATGTTATGTTCTCAGTACAGATAAAGCTAATGGGACTTAGGAATGCAGAGGTTTGTGGAACACGTAGGCTGCTATTCTCACGCTATGCAATACAAAGTTGTTTACTAAGATTGTATATAGCATCATGCTGAAGTATATATAAATGGCAGTCTGAAGTGGGAGAAATGCAGTCGCCCGTTTCTGTGCGTATGATACCTTTAACATAGTCGAAGGTTCTTTTGTGCAAGTTAACAACGCTTAACGTCTAATTGATGACCGACCTTTATTAAAATTGTATTTTCATAATAACGGAACATAAGGTACGGACACATCTGCTTTTCGCAAATTTAATGAAACTTAGACTAATATTTAATATTTACGTGTGACCACATCACGATAAAATTGGATTAAATTTGCTGCCATGTGCTGATATTCCAGTATTTACCAATTTTCATAATCACATAAGGTGTACAATTGTACCGTATCGTTTATAATCAGATCTGTAAGGAGTCAAGTACACAGGACTACAGTACTTGCCTCGTTACACTTTCTCTGTCCAAAGTCCCATCGCACACAATGCTCGTTCTGGAGAAGATGTAAAACATGCTCGTAGGAGCAGGCAATATAATGTGCAAGGGTGCAAGTGGGAGAGAAGAATTTCAGGATCTATGGGTGATTGTAGAGCGTCCATCTGGTGTAAACAGACAGGATACCTGAGAATCTGGTGTACAATATGCCTATTTAGAGATCTCCAAACTTTAAAAAGCATGATCTCCACTGTTTGATTTGAGATAAAATTGACAAATTGACGTGTTCCTATCAGTAATTTCATTTGAAATATTGGGTATTAATCGTGACTACTACAAAATTTTAGCATTCATTTGGGCAATAATCCCTTCCGTCAATTTCGTGTCCATGTATCCAAGATACACGACAACGACCACGATGTTGCCCTTTTAATGGTCAATCGACAGTGCGCGAGTAATCATGTAAACTCTAATCGTATACGTGCGTGATATAGAAGTTATTAGTGCCAGCTGAGAACCCACGATACTGACGGTTGTAGATCTGAGAATGGTCTTACAAGCGATCATCATAAGTTTTGAAGGTGGCTAAATAAACTACGTGAAGCCGAGACGAAAGTTTAAAGTAAAATTTACGAAGCGTTATCGTAACTAACCGCAAGCTAAACATTAGCAAATATTAGTATTTTATGGATACATGTTTAATTGGCTGATATTCATCAACATTTAACAAAATGCGCTTTTTATTTTCTTTGTTTTTTAAATATACTTTTTTGGTATCCAAAAGTAATGCTCGTAATTATTTCACACTACAGACTTTATCCAACGATCAAGCTTGTCGAATGTTATTTGAACTCACCAGCAACTCACCAGCTTGACAAATTCATAGCTAGACAACCGCATGTACGTACATAACATAGAATTATTGACGCTGTGAGATAAGTGTTTGTATCTAAGATTCAAAGCCCTATATTGACAATTTGTCAATGATGTAGGAGACGGGCTTTAAAATGATCAATCATGTGATGAGGTAGCGATTCGACGGTGCATTCCTCCATCGACGTTAACGATGGATCATTTCATAATTTCCAAAGTGTCGATTCGAGCATTATGGTGATCTACACACAAGCTACGAGAGCAGCGCTCGTGATGCTAACTCTTCCCATGCTCACTAATGCTGAACTGACCACATGTCAGATAAGTGATGCGAATTCGTGTGCCATTGACTCACTCTCTATCACTACCAACGATGGCAGTGTATCCATTTACCCTGGTGGCGATACACGTTGTGCCTTTGACGACTATATCGACACCGAGACGACCTTCCAATCGAACTCGACGTATTTCTTCCAGGTATTTCCTGCTGTCAACAAAACCAAGAAGAAATTGCTTCTATTCTTCCAAGGAGGTGGAGCGTGCGTTGATAAATACACATGTGACTTCACGTTGCAGTGTCAACTTGGCGACGATTCTTTGATCAGTACCAGAGCGACTGTGACGGAAAAGGGAATTATGAATCGGCAACTTGGTGACAATGTCTTTAATGACTTCAATATTGTGTACTTACCATATTGTACAGGCGACTTATTTGTGGGAAATAAGTATCTCGAGCCGTTTGAGAACATGTACAGTCAAGGAC